CGGTAGTGGTGGATGCGGCGCTGCGCGAGCTGGTGATGAGGGCGTTGAGCGGTGGTCTTGTTTTGCGAGCGATCGTATCCAGTTGAGCTTGGGTATTGTGGCAATTAAATGCAGTAGATCCGTGTCTGGTTGTCAAGGTCCTTGGTGTCTGCAAGTCAACTTGTGCGATGTCTGTGCCGGCACGAACTTGCAAAGGTTCAAAGCGCTCTCATGCCTCCTTCACATCGTCACCAAGTTGAATTTAGACGTGACTGACCTCAAGCGCGGGTGAGTCTGCGTCGGCAGCAGCGGGAAAGCCAAAATTCAGACTGCAGAGCGCCGTCTAGGCCAAGTCTATGCAGCCATCCAGGCCGTGGCCAAGCGGTTTCTTGGAGCGAGCATCACTGACAGTGCATGTCATATGAGCGTGGCTTGGCCGCGTACACTGGTGTTGCATCATACGCCCGAGCCTTCATTGGGGGCGTTGAATGTGGCACACTCTCAAAGCCAGCATGCAGGCAGAACGGCACGCAACGTCTATGGCCGCACGCAGCTCGATCACAAGTTTGGGTCGTGTCACAGGATAGCCACAGGTGGATGAATACTTCCCATTGAGCGGCGGAAGCGTGCGAAGAATGCGAGGTGAGCTTTGTTTTGACGTGCGCCGAAAACTGTGACCAGGGGCCCGGCTGCCATTTGGTGTTGGCCAAGGAGCGCACCTTTTTTCTTGTTTGAGCCGCTTCGAGGGGGGTACTAATGGTGGGGCTGGCGGGTCACAGGGTGGCCGACGGTGGATGAGAACTCCAAAGCGAGCACCGAATGCGTGTGAAGAATGCCAGGGCAGCTTTGTTGTGACGTACGCCGTAAATTGTGACCAGGGGGCAGGCTGCCATTTGGTGTTGGCTGAGGAGCCAAGGCGCACCTTTTTTCTTGTTTGAGCCGTTTCGAGGGGGGTACTAATGGTGGGGCTGGCGGATCACAGGGCTGTCGACGGTGGACGAGGACTCCATAGTTAGCAGCAAAAGCGTGCGAACAATGCGAGGTGAGCTTTGTTTTGACATGCGCCGAAAACTGTGACCAGGGGCCCGGCTGCCATTTGGTGTTGGCCAAGGAGCGCACCTTTTTTCTTGTTTGAGCCGTTTCGAGGGGGGTACTAATGGTGGGGCTGGCGGGTCACA